CCCTACACGACGCTCTTCCGATCTCCCCAAAACCCCGTAAGGTAATAATAACAAATACAATTCTTATCAGAATTTATAATCTTTAAGTCATAAATAAATCTTTGAAAATGGATAACTAGTTCGTTCCTCTATATGATAGAGTAGACCAAGCCATTGATAAGTCAGATTTTACCACTGTAGTTTAGTATGTTGTGAAAAATACAAATATGTGCAAATAAGATCCTTAGTCTATTCAGAGACTGCTTAACAATTTAACAAGATTGAATCTAACAGACTTCATAAACGAAGTGTTCCAAGCACTAATAAAGATTTAATTTACATTTGATTCTATCGAATATGTCTAGCCTCTTGGAAAGATGATAGAGGTTAATAAGACTATGACCCAAATCAATGTTTTGAATCAACTCATTATTAACAAAGTGACTATCGATACGAATATGATTTAGAAAGCATTAGAATAGTGCTTTGACTAACTTAGTGATAACAAAGAAGGCAATACTGAGGTAGAGATTGAAAAAGCAATAATAAATTTGACAAAGTCAGTCTTAAATGACCCAGGAAAATATCTTACTTAAGATTTCGTAGTATTTCTTATTGATAGATTCATTCAAAGTGGGAAATTTGAGGAGGCAGAGAAAATACTTCTAGATACTAGATTAAGCATCTAGATGTATCCAGAACTTTGGAAGCATTTCATAGATAGCTAATCTAAATTTGGAAAATACGACTATTGCATCTAAATCATTGATTAATTAAAAACCAAGTCAGTTTCTACTGGTTATGACCACCTTTATAACATTATTATAGAGAAATTTATCCAAGTGAACCAAAGAACTAAACCTCAGCAAATCTTTGAATTATTCTTAAAACTGAGTCATAGAAAAGTTTTATTCACTTATTTCAATCAAATTGAGACTCTAATTTAAATATATCAATTGAAAGATCTTGAACAATTCAAGAGTGCTATTGTTGAAATAGACTATAGCCTTGATCCTAATGCTTTTAATTTGATTATCAATCTCATACTAGATGCTAAAGACTTTGTAACTGCTATTGGTATGTTTGAATTAGTATTTGATAGCTAGATCAAGAAAGTTGATCTTTCGTAGGTGGATGTTTCACCAAATGCTTTAAAAGTTCTTTTAAAGATTCAAACACAAAAACTAAAGCAAGGCTTAGATTGGAAACTTGAGGATCTTAGTCTGTAAGGTCTTGAACATGACACTTAATTTGGGAAAGAGTCAATGATTAAAAAATGGCTTCCAATATAAAACGATTTGGAAAATTCAAAATACTTAAAAATTGATTAAGCAGATTAGATAAGTCTTAATGACGAACTTTCAATAATTTCAAAGAGTGATTACGAACTAATATGATATTATAGAGACAAACTTAATTCTTAAAAAACCTTAATTGACAAAAATCAATTTTACGGGGTTTTGGGGTTTTGGGGTTTTGGGG